AAGAGCTGGAATTGTTTCAGAACTCCTAGAAAAACCTTCCACAGCTGGTTTCACCATGTGACAAACACATACCCTCTGCTTTGCAGTTTTTCTTCTTGTGACTGGTAACGAGCTGCAGTGTTTAATTATCCCATCCTTAGCGCTGCACGTGATTTTGGTTCTGCTTTTGGTGAGGGTGGGGAGAAGAGGGATTTGGGGTTGAGGGGAGTGATTAATAGCCATTTTTGCTGCGTTCATGGAAAGGCAGGCGCCTATCTCTTTCTCATTTGAATACGTGGAGCGTTGAAGATCTGATGGAAAGCTCATGAAAGTTTAATCCTGGAGGTTTTGGACTGAGCCCTTACGTTGGCAACGTGGACAGAGAAGATGACTTGAGGAGGGACGCCCCGTAGCCTTCTGGCTGAGGAGCAGCTGTGCTGTGCCTGTATCCGCACAGCCCCTACAGCTGCTGGAGTCTCAGCCCGTCCTCCATCTGTCTGTCCATCCGTCAGTGCCACACACTTGGTTACTGTGACCACCCACCCTGGGGGGCTGCCCTGGTTGGTACCCTCAACATCAGCTCCTGATAAACCTTCACGGGGTGCTGGCACGGACGGTCAGTGGGCTCTCGCCCACAGCTATAAAAACCTGTCAGCATATGCCGAGGCCACATGTCTTAAAAACCCCGGTGGCGTCTTTGGCTTTGTTCAGAGAGCACTTCCAGAGCAGGGAAGAGAAATAGAGGTTTGTAAATAAGAGAAGAGGAAGCTGCTCCCCAAATTTAAATCTGCCCTCGGCGAAGCATCTGCCGTGCGGGAGCAGGCTGGCTTTAAACGTGGAGAGCGCCGATATGTGTCCTGCGTCAGCACTGGGCAGACTGTGTGGACTTCACTGGGGACAAAGCCGCTCAGCGCAGGTCGTGGCACTCGCGTTTTCAGTCCCTTCCGAGGGCTCTTTTTGCCGGGTTGCTGGGGCTACGCGGGCTGGAGCCATGCCCTTCTTCCGCAGGCGCAGGAAGCTCGTGGGAGGGATGTTTTTCCACACCAGAAAGAACCAGCCCACCAGCCGCCCCAGTTTCCCTCCCCTATTCATCCCCGGGCAGGTCTCCCCTGCCCCATGGATGGGAGGGAGGGGGGGGGCGAGGCTGGCGCCTCCTCCCTCCGGAGGGCCCAGAGCCTT